CTGTCACCCAATCCTTTAATTGGTGCCTAAATTAGATGAAATCTGTCATGTTCCTTTAAAGCTAGCCTGAAGACTAATTTGCTCACATTTTCTGAGCTCATTCACCTTATCAGTCCAGTACACATTTTCAACAGCTCGCTTTTATTAGTTGACTGAAACACCAGAAAAGGAACTCCTTCAAACAGTCTGACTATGACATATAGTCAGCCAGACTCAAATTTGAGTGATTTTCAACCAATTTTTAACCAATTTACTCATAAGATTTTTTTCATTTTTGTTCTTTTTTTTCATAAACACTAGTCTACCAACCTAGAGCACAGTCCTCTCCTGCACAATCAATTTAGATTTAGTACCCCTTGTTTTCTGTATGATTTACAAACAACTTCCAGGTCTCATGCTAATAATCCTTTCCATATCATTTTAGAGAAAAGAACCTAACTAAAATACAGCACTTGCATTGGAGTGTAGGGTATATTCAATTTCTGAGATATAATGTGGTAGGATAGTTCAAGCCCTAGCGAAATAGTTTAAATTACAGATTATTACTACTGTATGTATTGTCCGTTTAGCACAGATTCACCTAGACATGCAGATTCACATACTCTCAGAAGTGAGCTCAGCTGGCCATTTTCTCAAAAAGGAGATGTGTTCAGTTCATGATTCTCTCTATAATTCTTATACACATATAATTAAATTGAGTTCCACTGAATACAATTTTGAAATCTCAGTAACTGTTGGTTCCTGTTTTGAGTCTGGACCAGAAGATTTTGAATTTCAAAATAGCATGAAAACTGCAACTAAATGAGAATGAGGTAAAAAAAAAAAATAGAGAGAGAGAGAGAAAGAAAAAGAAAAACCTTTGCCACAAAGCAGCTTTATAGAAATCCAAGTATAGACCTCGAATGAGGGGGCCAAAGTCAGAAATGACAAGGAAAAGCTATAGAGACAGCACAAGGAAAAACATCTGGAGATGTGAACCAGTCCTGAGATTTCCAGATGAAGCTGAGGATGATCATACTGTGGAAAGGCAGGCAGTAATGATGGTTTTGAACATGTTGAAGTTAAATGAGTTTTGTCAACATTGTAAGAGTATTAATGCTCAATTTAATAAGCAATAGAAACACACACATGCTTCTGTCCATACCTGTGTTGCTCCAAGTTGCAACAAAATGTCAGCTTTGTTGGAAAAGCGCTTACAAAAGCATTAATAAAGAGCACAGTAGTACAAAAAAACACAAGTTTGCTCTCTCTTTACAAGGCACAAGCCCCCCAGGTCTCAGTGTGCTTCTTTTAGAAGGCGCATGAACAAGAAAAAGAGTAATACCAAAGTGTGTAGCTGTGAGTTTGTTTTAGGCCAAAGAAAGAGAGAGAGAGAGTCCAAAGTCAAAATAAAGAGATGGATCAACAGAAGCAAATGTCATATGCATGTCTGACAGCTTTTATGATTTTGTGGGTGAGTCATTGTTCACACACAGGTGTATGGTATCATGATGTGTCATTGTATGCAGTCAAAGCGATGCGCTTGGCCATCACATCTCAATGAAATGACCAACACACAGCACACACTCTCCCACACAAACATCCCCCCTCAGCTCATTTATTGTTGGCAGGGTGGAGATAAACACTATTGATTAGTTTGGCTGTCTCAGTGCTGATGGATCATCGCAAAAGAGGACTTTAAGGCTGCAATGATCGGTTGTCCTTGCCAGCCTCAGAATGTTCCAGAACATCAGCATACTGCATGTGGTCAGTATGCAAGTGTTTGCACATTTGCATCAAAAAGGGCCACTGGGAAAGAGAACTATCAGAAGAAAATGCAATCTGACTATTATACACATCATTTTAAACACTTAACAAAGTGGGTATTCATAGAAAAGGCTTAGAGATGCTAAATCAGAAATGTATTCATTCACAGAATATACAAGATACATAGGAATTTAAAATTCATAAAATTGCAATATACAGCCCATACACACATAAAGCATATAACACCTAACTTAGAGCTATACCCATTGGCCATTTTATCAGGTTCACCTTCCTCTTTCCATGTAAATATATAAATAAATAGATCTAAAATTACTGAAGGTAGCCCATCTGTTGCTATGCACAATTTCTCTACCCTCTACCACCATAGGACCACATCTAACCATTTATTAGGGCTGTGGATCATTCTCAGTACAGCACTGACACTGACATGATAATACAAGTGTTTCGGTTTTTGCGCATTGTGTACTTATGGACCACTTTTTTTTTTTTTTTTTTTTTTTTTTTTTTTTTTTTTTTTTTTGACACACACCTACCTTAGTCATCTTGTAGGTATACAGAGAAAGACTACTGAGAGAGAATGCGCCTCATCTGTGTTGATCGTCCTCTAGACTTCATCGCTGTTTGCTGGATAGTTTTGGTTTGTGGACTGTTTTCCAAACCAGCATTGATACTGAGGTGTTTAAAATCTCAACAATGATGGAGTCAATAAATACCTTTGCTAGAAAATGTTTTCTAAGATATAAAGTGTTGCCAGACTACAAGGTTTGACAGGAGTTGAATTAATTGTCTGCATAAAATGGGTAGTCCAATTGTATGAGATTAATTTGTAAAGATGAAAATAGTCTTAGAGCTGAGTAGAGGTAGTGTGGCGTACTCGATTAAAAATACTGCTAAAAATACTGCTTTCCTTCAAAAGTAGAATTATAGTTCATAAGTTTTGCAGTTTCAGTAATGAGTATATTTAATTTATTAGTTTAAAACCCCGATTGAAAAACTGATAAAAAAAAAAAAAAACGTCTTGTCTCGTAAATACAGATCTTTATTTTTTTTCACCTAATCATGGAGACATTTGTGAGGTTTCATGTGAGCCAGCTTTCTCTAATTGTAATCAGACTGTGTTAACATGCATCATAATTTTATCAACACTACTAGTACATCTGGCGCTATTGATTTTGTCCAATTACACATTTCAGTTCTGTTATGATTGAGTTGTCTGTCTCAGTCAATTTGATTGAGTTGTCTTGTGCAATAAATAAAGATAAGGTTTGCATGGTTGTCAGATTAGCTTCTGCATGCATTTTTAGTGTTGTCAGCCAGATCACTGAATGCATCTCCATTAGTGTTAGATGTTAAAGAGGAGACCATGCTGGCAGAATGCAAAGGAGAGAAGAAGCTGACCTTGTTTGAAACACGCATTTTCTGATACACACACACACCGTTATGGGCCGTGGGGAGCCGCTCCATCTTCCACTCATTTAAAATCTGCAAACAGCTAGTGGGCTCTTTGCGGTCTCTTTGGGAGACAGTCCACTTATTGCACTCCTTCAGTCCGACGAGAAGAAAAGACAGAAAGCAGGAATGGATCAAAACGCGCATCGAGAAATATATATCGGCACGCTCTCTTTATGTGCCCGAGATCTCAGGATTCACTGTCATTTATTTAAAGCTCAGTAGGTAGTATGCAGCTTCTGAAAGTTTCAGCATAAGTAGATTCCACAATTCTAGTCCTTAAATGCTTGCCCCAGGTGGTGCAAGCATCTGTTAGCATCTCTCTCTCTCTCTCTCTCAGTCTGTCACAGTGTCTTTCTGTTTTTGGGGGGGTTTGTTGGCTCTCTTCATTCTCTTCTCATGTATGTCTAGAATGGCTGCAAAACACAAAGGCCCATGTCTGTTTAATGTTGACTATATGCTGTAGTAGGAAGCAATCGACTCAATGAAATTTTCATCTACAAGTAAAAGATGAAAATAGGAAGTGAATATTGGGAATATTTGTAAACTTTGTACCCATGTTTTCTTTTTTTAAGCTCGTCTTGTGCATGAGTCTATGCATCACAATTTGAGCTACACTCTTTTTATGAAAGGTGCTGTACATATAAAAGTTTATTATTAACAGTAGCAGAATTTTTTCCATCAGTACAGTTGAGACCTACTAAACAAATATCTGCTCAACAAGCTTTGGGGCAAAAGCTGGCAAAATTAGATCCAGTATGTCTAAAGTAAGTGAGTGAGAGGATGCTTGTGACGTAGGGGTGTGTGTGTGTGTGTGTGTATGTGTGCGAGAGAGAGAGGGAGGGAGGGAGAGAGAGCTGGGGTCTAATCCCATTAGAGAAGGATGAAAGAAACAGGCATGACAGAAACGAAGACTGCGAAATAATGGATAAGGGAGCAGCCAGAATACAAGTGAGGTCTTCCATGCCTTGTCTAATCCAATCAGATCAAATGTGTGAGAGAATGATGTCATATGGCATGTGATGTCATCTAAGCAGGTCTAAGACAAAAGCACATATGAAATGTGAATACACAATTGTGTGTGTGTGTGTGTGTGTGTGTGTGTGTGTGTGTGAATATGTGTGTATGTGGAGTTTTTTTCATACAATATCACAGCATGACAGCATGATTTCAAAAATAAATAAATAAATAAATAAATAAAGTTTAGACTCTAGATTAAAATCTAAAGTTTAGACTCTTTGCTGGTCTTTCATGGCTTGTCTGATCAATTTCAGGAAATTCTGTACGTGTGTGAGTTCAGTCTCAGAACTCCGAGATATTCCACATCAGCACTCCAGTAAACTCCATCTATTAATGAAATCTGACAAGACAGGCTTATTTCTGTGTGAATCATTAATCATTCATCATTAATTTAGGCAGCCTGCATGTGTGTGTGATTGTGCTTTTGCTTGGATTTCATCTGCAAGTAGTCTTATGTATGAAAAAAAAGACAAACAAAAACATGATCTGAACCAGCTCATTTATTGTCCTGGCCACAGGTATTTTTATCCACTTGCACTATTCTTCTCAAGCTGTGGTCTTAGTAAACTGACGCTCAAGCCCGAGCATTTCTGTACCCCCAATTTATAGGTGTATGTCATTCCATTAGCAGCTTTTAGCAGCTATGACATCCATATACAGCTCCAGTGATGTCATTTTTTCTGACATCTCATAGCCATTTTCCCTGGGTCTTTCCTGATCCTCATATCTTCCCTAGGGCTGTCACTATTGGTTATATTGAGGCAGTCATGGCCTAATGGTTAGCGAGTCAGCCTTGGAACCTGAAGGTCGTGGGTTTGAGTCTCAGGACCAGGATTGTAGGTGGAGGGAGTGAATGACCAGTGCTTTCTTCCACCCTCAATACCACGAGTAAGGCACTGAACCACCAACTGCTCCCCGGGCACCGCAGCAAAAAAGGCTGCCCACTGCTCTGTGTGTGTATTCACTACTGTGTGTGTGTGTGCACACTTGGATGGGTTAAATGCAGAGCACAAATTCTGAGTATGGGTCATCATACTAGGCCACAAGTCACTTCACATGACTTAATCATAATTAAGTAATTGGATTTTTTAAAATTCACAATAAAAGTAGTCTTAATTGAACAATAAGTTCACTTAAGATAATTATTATATTTCGCCAAACTGTATATAATCTAAACATAAGATTTATGTTTTTTCATATTTCCCATTAATGTTAAGAATGGGAATGACAAAAAGTGAGATTTCAGGATTTGAATGATTATTGTATATGAGAAAATTCTTTTTGTTTTGCAGAAATAAAATGGAAACAAAAAAAAACCCAAAATTCCAGATATGGATTGAATGTATGATACACGGATTCAGACAAAAACGTAATCAGACTATCAAAAATGAATAGAATCAGAAAATCAGGAAATAAAAAGAAAAACGTGGTATCACCGACCTGAGTGGAGGTAAAATCACAGAGTAGCATTTATAAAAGATAAAATTACTTCAACTCCACATATTAACCTAATGCTGTCTTATAGGACTCAAAAGATCTCATGAAAAATTCATAGGAATGCTAACAGTCAGTGATATTTTGTTGAATTTTATATGAATGTTGTAAGAAAAGGGCAGAATGATGGTGCAGCGAGTGACACGGTGCCATGATGGATTGGCGTCCCATCTAAAGTGTAATCTGATCTTGTGCCCAGTGTTCCCAGGATAGGCTCTGGACCCACCGCAAAACTGAACAGGATAAATCATTAACTGAACATCAATTAATGAATGAATTAATAAATGTAAGAAATGCTACAACCGCTAACCACGCCCCTCAGAGCAACACTTACCATTTGTGACCCTTCCTATGAAATATTTTCTAGTTTGCATCCGTGAGTCTGTGTTGCACTCCTGGTAGCATCAGTACTGATTTTGTGCCCATGGGTAAATAGATTTTGCTTTGATTATCTGTTGATATATCACATCATATAGGTGCTGATGAATGCAGGCTATTTTTATTAACACTACACAGATCTTGCATGTGAACACAAAATGTTTTACAGCTTAACACTTGCATTCCTTACAGACAGCTGGCCTGTGAAAAAGTGTCACCATTGGACTGGTCTGAAATGTGTTCCTGACCTTGTTCTGCTTTTTAAACTTACAACCTCCTCTAGTCTGACTGTCTCACTGTAACACAAAAGTCTGTTTTCTCCTCCTGCTCCCTGCAGTCTGTCATGTCCTTTTGATCCCTTCTCCTCCATGAGTGAAAGTGATAGATGCCAAGTTTTCCACTACCCCATCAAATGCCTGTTTGAGTTTGTAGAGCCAGCAGTCAGTCTAACACTGCTTTGTCTGTTCTGAGATGTTTGTCTCTGTCATGCAGTTTAAATCTCAGAAGAACTAGTGCATAAGCTGGCTTTGCATCATAGCGGTTTTATTTTTCCAAATCAAAAGTGCTGGGAGCTGGGATTAAAGTTTCCTTGTGTGTGGATTTGAGTTCACACCAGGGTCAAAGTATGTTCTTCATGTTTTTCATAAATTTCTAAGTGATATAAACTTGTGTATGTGTGTGTGTGTGTGTGTGTGTACAGTTAAGTCAGAGTTTTTGTGATTTTGCCTTTATACACCACCACAATGGATTTGAAATAAAACAGTCAAGATGTGATTGAAGTGTAGACTTTCAGCTTTATTTTAAGAGGTTCCACAAAAATATGGCATTTACCATTTAGGAATTACAGCCATTTTCAGCAAAGTGCCTCCATTTTCAGGGGCTCAAAGGTATTTGGACAAAGTGACATAATTGTAAATATAACCATAATTTTAATACTTGGATGAAAATCCTTTGCAGTTTGACTGCCTGAAGTCTGGAGCCCATGTTCTCAAAACTCAAATTCTGAGTTTCCTCCCTGGAGATGCTTTGCCAGGCTTCACTGCAGCCACCTTCAGTTGCTGCTTGTTTGTGGGTCTTTCTGCTTTCAGTCTTGTCTTCAGTAAGTGAAAAGCAGCTTTATTGGGTTGAGATCCCATCCTATCTCCTCCCATCATTCTGCTACAAGTTAATCCTGGTTTCATCAGTCCAAAGAATCTTATTCCAGAACATGGAAGGGTTTTTTAGATGTTTTCTGGCAAAGTCTAATCTGGCTTTCCTGTTCTTGCATGTTACCAGTGGTTTGCACCTTGCTGTAAACCCTCTGTATTTATATTCATGAAGGCATCTCTTGATTGTAGATTTTGATAATGATACGCCTACCTTCTCCAGAGTATTCTTGACTTCTGTTGATGTTGTGAAGGGGTTTTTCTTCACCAAGGAAAGGATTCTACGATCATCCACTTTAGTTGTCTTCTGTGGTCTTCCAGGCCTTTCGATGTTGTTGAGCTCACCAGTGCTTTCTTTCTTTTTAAGAATGTACCCAACTGTTGATTTGGCCACACCTAAGGTTTTTGCTCTCTCTCTTATAGATTTATGTTGTTTTTTCAGCCTAAGGATGGCCTCCTTCACTTGCATTGAGATCTCCTTGGACTTCATATTGGTAGCTCCAGTCGAACAGCTGCCAAATGCCAACTCAATACCTGATATCAACTCCAGACCTTTTATCTGCTTCATTTGTCTTGAAGTAACGAGGGAATGGACCGCACCTGGTCAATTAACTTCTTGCCAGTCAATTGTCCAAATACCTTTGAGCCCCTGAAAATGGAAGTACTTTCCTTAAAATGGCTGTAATTCCTAAATGGTAAATGCCATATTTTTGTGGAGCCTCTTAAAATAAAGCTGAAAGTCTACACTTCGATCACATCTTGATTGTTTTATTTCAAATCCATTGTGGTGGTGTATAAAGGCAAAATCACAAAAACTCTGTCACTGTCCAAATACTTCTGGACCTGACTGTATATATGCTAATTTGACACAAAACATGCCGGAGGATTCTCTGGATGACAGCTCTGCGTGTGTGTGTGTGTGTGTGTGTGTAATAAAAAGCTGGAAGGAATGTGACAGTCATTAAAAACATTTTGTTTCATATTAACTAAGATCAACCACTTACAAACTTTTTATCACCTTGTTGCTCTCAGGCTTAAATGGCCTGAACATCATTTCATTAAAATTAATGTGATTTTTCAAAATCAGCCAAGCACATAAAGTTTCATGATGGAAGTCATTTTCAGCCACTTATAGTACATATCTGAAATTTGTCATTTTCAACCTAGACAGAATGCTTAAAAAATAGCAGTATAATAAATTGTCTGTGTAATCCTAATGTGTGTGTGTCTATTTGCATGTGTGTGTGTTTGCATTTTCAATCTGCACAGGTCTAGTGCCTCTCCCACCCACCATTTAGCAGAGCAAAATTACTCTCTCCATTTCCTCTATCCTCACCCTGGCTAACGACATCCAATTAGCTCTCTGTAATTAGGTTATTGCCTGGAAAAATGCTGATTTTTAAAGTGAAACAGGGCACACAGATGTGAGTGAGACTCAATCAGACTGGCAAGAGCTCAGATAGAGGCTCCAAAATTATTTATCTCAACCCTTTGGAGAGGAGAAGGAAGTGATGGTCCAAAAGTCAAGTGGACTGACAGTTCCATCACTGATCAAGACCTAATGGAAATGTTCCTCAGTTGGAAATTATTACTGAAGAACACTTTATTTAAAATTTATACAAATTGAAAAATTTCCGTATGAATTTCAGTCGTCCAGAGACCTCTCCCATTAGGATAGAAATGTTTTACCATAGGTAAAGAAGAACAGTCAGAAGTACTGATTCGGAGTGACCCATCACTGTAAGGGTAACACTGTTTGTGTATTAGTGTGATGTGTACGGAAAAACAAAAGAGAAAACATTCTTCTGTTGACAATCACATTGGTTTTCTTTTAATTTGTCACCTGTCTGTATATACTTCCTGCCTCACATTTCTTCACTCACTAAATCTGCCTTCTTTCACCTCCGTAATATTGCTCGTTTACGTCCCTTCTTAAATATCAGTGACGCTGAGACTACTGTAATTCTCTCTTCTATGGTCTACCAAACACAACATTAAATAAGCTCCAATATATCCAGAACTCTGCAGCTAGGGTTCTCACGTTTTCTAAGAGATCCTCTCATATTACTCCCATCCTACACAGACTTCATTGGCTACCTGTTCGTTCTCGTATTCAATACAAGATTCTCCTCATCACCTTCAAAGCACTTCATGGTCTCACCTCCCCATACTTTTCTGATCTCATTCATACTTATTCTCCAGTTCGCACATTACGCTCTTCAGATACTGGTCTACTGTTAATTCCACAGGTTAGCATCGTTTGGTGGACGAGCGTTCTGTCTCTCAACTCCGACACTCTGGAATTCTCTCCCCAAAAGTATCCGTGATCTTTCTTCATTACAAGATTTCAAAACCCACCTTAAAACACATCTTTTTCTTTCTTGTTTTTCTGATCTGACTGTATGACCTGATTCATGCCGTGGATCTCTTGTTTATTGTCTTTTGTTCTTTGTCCGCTGTCATGTTTCCATATTGTAAAGCAACCTTGAGTGTGCAGAAAGGCGCTATATAAAATAAACCTATTATTATTATTATTATTACACTCTATACACTCTTCCTTAAGTTATAGACCTACATAAAAACTTTAAAGGCTCCCCTAGAACGATAAACTAAGAATGTTAGATGGACCTTTTTTCTAAGAGCATACAGTGTATACACTACAGCTATTTTTAGGTTTATCACCTGCTTTCTAATATTCTTGGGCGGAGCTGAAAAAGGTTGATTTTAGCATAGTGATTGTCAGCGATGAGTCTGAAGCCTCAGTTCTTCAGCAACTCTAAGCGGATCACATCCAAAATCTCCACACATTTAGG